TGGAGGGAGACGTTAAATCGATCCCTGTCCTGCAGTTTTGGAGATATCTAGAAAAAAAAACTGGTGTATGTGTTTGTGGTAAAGGTGCACATGTGTAAACAGAAGTGATTTAAGCCCAGCACAGCAGGGTGTCTGCCATTTCTCCAAAACACACATCAGCACAATGGAGCAGTGCTGGTGTGAGCCTAACGGTTATAGACACAAATGATTAGAATCACTAGCCAAGCCAGCTTCAGCATGTGTGAAATACACCTGTAACCCTGCTTTACCCATATGCACAAACATCTCCTGACTACACAAATTCTTAAAGCTGGGAGTGTGATTCTTATTTGATATCAATTTATTACTTCAACAGATTTATGAGTGTGTAAATTAAAAAGATTACAAGCTTAGCTGGTTTAAACCCAAGCAAGCCCCTGCTACACTGAAAACTCAAATTATGCATCGCTGCCTAATAAACAAATATAATCTTACATTAAGAGCACTCTTGCCCATTTTAGACTGTCATAATTATCTCTCTGTCAGCATGTGTTTAAGGCTGGAATGACGACTGGTTGGTCAGAATAAAATTGATTTTGATCATTTTTTTTAAATCATGTGAGAAATTTTGAGGGCAAAATGCAGAAAATTCAGTGATTCCACCTACTCAAAAATGTATTTTTGGTGGTTTCTTTAGTGTATTACAATAGCAAATGAAATACCTTTGGGGTTTGTGTCTGTTTCTGAGACAAAACAAGTCATTTAAAGACTCTGGGAGACTATGACAGACATTTTTCTCCATTTTCTGACATTTTATAGACTATATGATTAAGTTAATTGAAGTACATAATTCAGAAAATAAATAACTAGCAGGTGAACTCATAATAAAAAAAATGTGTGCACATTACATGTACAGTGAATATGTTTTTAGAGGTTTAGAGAATGTGTCTGTGCCATGTGCATGGAGCCATCTTCTTCCATATTAAATCACGGTTAAAATAGCTTGAAGCAGACGGGGTGTTTTCTGGTCAAACTATTTTAAAAAATCAATCACACACACACACACACACACACACACACACACACACAATCCACACTGAAGTAGGCAGACTGAGACAGAAATGAAAAGGCATGTATAAAAACAGACACGCAAACAAAGGATGAGGCAGGCAGAGTGAGAAAAAGTGATGTTTAAGATAACTGTAACACTCAGTTGACAATTCACCTGACTCGTACACACACGCTCCATCACATGAACTTTTATATCTCACACTGGGGTCATGTGGCGCAAGTGTGCGACATAGATATGACCTTTGGGATAAAAGAGGATAGAGCACACACCTTCAGTGTAAGAGGCAAACGGCTCAGGCTCCAGAGAAAGGGTAGTGATGTCGGAGCACAGGACCTGGATGGGGCTCAACATCCTGGGGGAGGACTCCAGGGTGGAGAGGGGTGGACAGGATGGGCGGAGCTCTTCAGGCTATAGCCAGGAGCAGCCCTGCAAGAGGAGCAAGGATGGAGGAAAGGAAAGGCAGGAAGGAGGGCAACAGGAACGCAGAGGGTAAAGAGGCAGGGAAGGAAGGACGACCGGGCAGGGAGGGGTAGGGTTAAGGGTGGGGACTGAGTTACTACATCACCACATTTGGCCATGAGTACTCAAAGAAAATCTACTAGTGGTATATTCATGAACATACTCTTTATGTAACATGAACATGTTGGGGTTGGTGGGAAGGCTAGCAAGACATGAAGGATGAACAAAAGCAAGCCACTAAAGGGACGGAGTTTCGTTAAGTCATTTATAAAATTCAGATTGTAGGTGTTCATAACTGCGCCAAGACTGTGGACTGCTCTCTCACATGGAGGGACAATGATAGACAGTTAACCTAAGACCTGTCTGATTAAACTGTTATTTTAAATGAATCTTCATTTTCCTATAAAATGTTAAACATACATTAAAATCTGCCAATTGCAAGTTAATAAATAGCCCAAAAACCTAAATGTATTCAATTCAAAATAACATGAAAGAAAAATAAAAGCAAGTAAGCGTTCAAGTCTAGGAATACTTCTGTTTTCATATTTTAAAGTTACATATACAGTTTGCATATGTGAAGATTTTCCAATGGCCAATGTATACTTATGTGTTTTATATTGTTACAGTATGTTATCCAGATGACAAAGGAAAAACAAAAAACAAATTCCAATTTTGTGATTTCTGTGTTTTCAGTTTACGTTCCAGTGGCGGAACAGTACGCTCCTCTCTACACTGAGAAATACATATATGAAACCTTTTCCAACTCACAAATAAGAATACTGGCTTGTTTCTTTGAGCTTGTGAATTGAGATGTGGTTGTCAGTCAACTACATTAATAGGGAGACACTTCTGTGCATATTATTCATGAAATGTAATAATTCAGACATTTACTTACAAAATGCAGAATGTGTTATTTATTCATCCATCCTTGATCCCAAAAGACTGTTACAACTGGAAGTGTAGTTGTAGCAAAGGGAGATTTTGTGAATGGCAAACAGAGAGAGAGGAGGGGAGTAAGCGATGTAAGGAAGAAGGGGGGAGAGGGAAGGTAAGGTGGAGGGAGGTTAAGCATTCCTGGCCTGAAGGAGGCAAAGGCCAGGGGAATCCACACAGGAAGGTCTACAGACACATTGATGTCTGCACAAAACATTTGCAGACCCACAACCATTCATATACATAGACCTGAACAAATAAAAAGACACAGCGTGCACTCAGAGACACAGACATGTATATGAATGTAACATGGGCAAAAACATAAAGAAATGTGGAGACACACAGCAGACAACAGCTATAAAATCACATGCACCATCTCTGTCTCCACCACCTTCACCGCTTTCTCTACAACACGCACTTACAGAGGCACATTGTGTTTGGGCAGCCTTTGGAGCACTGTTGGATAATTGTTTGGCAGACGCGCCACTTCAGCAGCAGCAATGTTGTGAGTTGCATTAGAGGATTGACGGGGAAACGGAGAGAGGATGGGGGAGGCAATGGGGGATGGAAATTCGTGAGAAGGACAGGGGATGGGAGGGAACACAGAGGAACGGTGGAGGGAGTGGCGAGGACGTACAATACGAGGCAGGTAAAGAATCATTTTGTTCATTTGTGATAGAAAATTACTTTTGTTGGTCAAAAGAGGAATTCCAGTGAGATTAATTTTTAGAGCAGAGTTTGTCATTTTTCTTCTGGTACCATCTATTTTCATGCTGTCCATGTGTTGCACAGCCCTTTCAAACCAAGGCTGTTCAGTGGGGTGTCCACCTTGGTGAGAGCTCATCAGCAATTCAGCCTGAATAATGTCTGTGTCTGCCTGAGATGTGTGGAATAATTAATACTGCCATTATTGGTGGGTGGAGATGACCTGTCAATCATATTGGCCAAGCATGAAAAGCAGCATGTTTATCATGACTGACTGTTGCTATGGCAATAACGGATGGTTAGTGATGATGTTTCTGCCACTCACTCATAAAAATCTTTTCTTCTGATATGAACAAAGACACATTTTGCTCATGAAAACACTGTATAAAAAAAGACAGGTACAGAGACATGTCAGTCTTCTGAGTAATACAGTATACTGAATGCACACAGAAGCATTTATACAGTCAACAGGCAGCACCACAGGTCTCCCCTGGCTACAGTATGTGCTCCTGTGTGAGGGAAATCTTATTTCAGCACAGACACAGAAAGCATAATTCCCTTTCTGCAGTAATATGAGGATTACAAATGAGCTTGCAACAAATTCATGACCCCGGGTGATAATCCACTGTTCTGACCTAAGAGGCGTGGTGAACATTATGTTAAGTGTAAGAAACCGATTGGAGACAGGGAGACAGAAAGGCAGACGTGGAAGATAGTGTGCAGGTGAGATTAGTAGTCTGAGATTAGAAGAAAGGGGGAGGGGGGTTATTCTGGGTTTTAATCCATTTGTTTTTTGAAACAAACCAAAAGGAGTTCAGTGGTTTACACGACTCGTGTGTAACTGGACTTGCTAATGCTTCCCCACCTGAGTTCTGATATATTCAATTTGACACTTGTGCCTGTTATATTCAAGAAGAGCGTGTACCAGCGAGTGCATGTGTGTGACTATATTACGATGTGACAGATGGCCTGCAGTACAATGAGCACAAAAAAATGGGACAGAAATTTCTGGCTTTTTTCTGGAAATTTCTGCTGTTACAGAAAAAAACTTGTACTCCCATTCTGGGACATACAGACACAAACAGAGACACACATTCGCACACAGGGCAGATCAATTCTTCCCTGCAGTGTAACACAATAGCTGTATTACACAAGATAGGTAGGCTACAAAAAGCAAAACAAACAAAAAAGGAAGGAGACAAAAAAACTAGAAAATGAAAATATTATGATAAGGGGGGGGGGAGGGAGGAGATGAAAGCGTGCCTACAGTGTTTTGCTCTCTAGTTCTTGCTGCTCTTGTCTGAAATTCTGTCTCAGTACTGATCGGCACAGATCTTATAGGAGATCAAGAAGCCATCCTGAGCTTTTTCCCCTGACAAACAAGCATATGTACACTTGACACACACATTTTCTAAAAGTCCAAAACACAAATACACACTCATGTGTGGCCACACATAAACACATTCTTTTTAACATATATACACACACTGCGCTTCCTCCGTCACCTTCTTACCTTCAGTCACATAGTTGTGGTCGGGGAGGAAGCCGTGGTGGTTAAGCGTCGGGGTGGCGTCAGTGTCTTCGCCCATCAGCAGGGCTGGGGGGAGCGCCCGTCTCGGTGGGGCAGCGTGGTGGTGGCAGATCAGTGGTGGAGGGGGTGGTGGGGATGCCGGCCAGCACAGTGCCCATACTGCTGCCTGCCAACGCCTGCTTAGCACAGGGGCGCAGAGCCAGGCATCCTATCTTTAAATGAAGATGAGAGGCAGGTAGGAAGGGAGTGGGCTTGTCCCGAAGGAGGGATGGGTGCGTGCACAAGTCCCCACAACTGCTTCAGATGCAAACCTGCAGGAGGAGGATTATTTAAAAACGATTCAAAAACTACTTTGGGTGAGCTTGATTTGTACCTCACCAGATCACACATCACTCATGAGGCAAGGAAAATCGAGCGCACCTCTGCAGCTGCTGAGTCCAGGTGTGGCCAGATCCATTCTGCTCTCTCACAAACACACACAGCACACACAGTCTTGTGCTTTCAGAAATGGGTTAAGTCCCTACTTGTTAATGGAAACTCCGAAAGAAAAAGACAAGAAATGAAGAGGAGAGTGGGGGGAGGGGAGGGAGGGATGAGCAGAGCCCCTATCTGCAGTGCTGCTTTCTGCTTCTGCAGTGAGATCAAGCATGGACACACATATACAGTGGGACAAACACACTCACCTACACACTCAATAGCTTGTGCCTCAGCACTCCTCAGCGGATCCTCCAATGAAAATGTCTCTCCTCTTCAGGGGAGTAACTGTCTCTCTGGTTTCTCGGCTGTTCCAGTATGAGAAGGAAAAATCTTACTGGCCTGCGTTCTGCTGCAGTCTGTGTTCTGGTGTATGTGTGAAAGGCAGGGTGAGAGGTAGAGAGAGGGGGGGAGGGAGAGTGAGAGGATCTGTCCTGCTGTGCTGGTACATGTGTGTGATGCATCAGAGCAGGCACCGCCCACTCCTCAGCGTAGCCAATCGTGACAGAGCTGCGATCTGTGTGACCACTGACTGCAGGTGATTAAATATGATAAAGACACAGGAAGGAATGAGGGAGTGGGTAGCAGAGCGGAACTGACTGAGTCTTATAAGGCTGTGATTAATGGGAGAGAAGGCAGAGAGAGCAGGAGAGCGCGGTTTGAGTGCTGAATATGAACCACTGTGTCTGGTAGAGGATTCACCTGGAGACATGTTTCAATTAGCACAGAGATGACTAACACACCCCTGACTCACACACAGATTCTAATATTGACTTGTAATGCAAGTCTACATAGAGGGTAGGGCTAAGCTATACATTCAACTGCTGTTTGTAAACTTGAAACAGTATCATATGATATGATATGATCTTAACTTACTGTCCTATCAGTGTCTGTTGGTCAGCTTTTGGGAAATATGCTTATTCACATTCTTGCTGAAAGTTAGACAAAAATATCAATTTCACTATTATGTCTGTACACTGAATATGAAGCTACCAGCAGCAGTCAGTTAGCTTAGCACAAACGCTGAAAAGATGGAGAAACAGCTTTCAGTGTTTGTGCAAAGCTAAGATACTGTAACTGTGTTCTAGCTCCAGCTTCATATTTAAAGGCAGAAATATGGAAGTGTTAATCTCATCTAACTCTCAGCAAAAGAGTGAATAAGTGCATCTCTAAAAATGTCAAAAGTATTCCATTAGTGGTTCTGTATAAGATAAGTACAATAATTTAGTTCTTTTGTTTGTTTGTTGTGTTTTACACAAAGGGTAGGTCTAATGTAATGCATTACAGTGGAACAGATTTTACTGCTTTGACTTAGAGACAGGCAATACCACAAGGTTTGGCAATACCACACTGTGTATCTTCTGTGAATCCATTTGTTTCCACAGTTATACTGTCAGGAAGAGCACAGACGTGTCTACAATTCAGTGAAAAACTTGCGTAAAAGGAGTGAAAACTGTGGTCGTGAGGACAAGTTAGATTTTGTTTTAGACAAATTCAGCCTCACCACTCTAGGTGTGATATCACCACTGCAGCCCCTAGCTCTTTCTCTTCATAGAGACCATTGTACAGTATTTCTCATTTTCAACCATTTTAACAAAGATTCAAATAAATTTTAATCTTTTGAAAAGTACAAATGGAAGTTAAGAGTTTAATCTACAGTAGGGCAAGCTCATCATCAGTGAGCCATGGGCGTTCATGACCCCGTCGCCAGTTCACCACTTGTCTTTTCTTAGGCCACTGTTGGTAGGTACTAACCACCGCAGACTGGGAACACCCACCAAGAACTGCAGTGTGGGAGATGCTCTGACCCAGTTGTCAACCATCACAGTTTGGCCCTTGTCAAATTCACTCAGATCCTTTCACTTACCCATTTTTCCTGCTTCCAACACATCAACTTTGAGGACTGAATGTTCATTGAATCACTGAATGCTCATACCCCACACACTGTTAGGTGCCACTGTAACAAATAGTCAATGTCATTCATTTCACCTGCCAGTGGTCATAATGTTATGCCTGATCGGTGTAAATCAATATCAGAAAATATCCTAATATTAAAACAAATAGGTTATTTAAAGGAATCATATTGCTCTAGATCAGAATTACCACTAACACTTCAGTTCACACACAGGCTTCAGTCAGTGGGCTGCCAGTGACAGTTGGTGCCATCACTAGTGCTGGCTGTCTGCCACCAGGCTTTAAACCCCTCCACAGCAGGGAACAAGAAGAGCTGTTTATCTTTCAGCCTCGCCTTCCCCCACTCACTTCTTACCAAGGTGGGCAAAGCTCCACACACCATTGCTATATCTGACCTTCTAACTCCCCCCTGCCAGCCAAACATCCACCACAAAGCTCCCCTAAGCCCAATCCCACTGTTACCCATATAGCTACTGTCCTACCTGCACATCTCCACCTATTCAGCCCAACCATATGCCACCAAAATCGCCTTCTGGTTAACTCCACACTCTGGTTACACTCATAGTTCTTTTTTCAAAACTCTGAGATTAATGTCAGAATTCCGATATTAAAGTCAGAATTCTGAGAAAAAAGTCTGACAATCTCAGAATTTTCATTTTAAAGTCAGAATTCTGACTTATTTAAAAGTCTTTGAACACAGAATTTAGACTTTTTTTCTCTTTAAAGTCAGAATTTTGAATTTAAAGTCTGTAAAAAGTCTGACTTTAAAGTGAGAATATTTAGGGGAAAAAAGTCTGAATTCCAATTTTAAAGGCAGAATTCTGAGTTCAGAGATGACTTTTAAATAAATCCAAATTCTGAGTTTAATCTCAGAATTCTGAGAAAAAAGAATTTAAGAGTTTAAAGTCTGAAAAAAGAACTATCAGATTAAAATCATAATTCTCACTTTACACTCAGAACTTAGAATTCTGACTTTAAAGTCTGAAAAAATAACTATGAGTGTAAAGTCAGAATTCTGAGTTCAAAGATGACTTTGAAGTTAATCCCTGAATTCTGACTTTACACCCAGAGGTCAGACTTTAATCTCAGAATTCTGATTTATTTAAAAGCCAGCTTTGAAGTCAGAACTCTAAGAAAAAATGTCATATATCTGAGAAAAAAAGGTCCAACTCAATTTTTACCTAATCGTCTTCTATATTAAAGATGGGGATTTTTTGTGATGTTTTTCTTTAGTTCTTGTGACATTGAACTCTGACCTTTTTTAGCTAAAATCTAATCACTGGTCCCCACCAATGTCTGTAGTATGCTGATAACCCATCCAGCCGTTTGTCCTAACATAAATACTGTATTTAATACATAAACCCATACCTACTACTAATCACCTTTTGGCTATTTTGGAGCAGAAAAACTATCTTTTAGCCGCTTAACATTGCTGTGGCTAACGCGTTAGCACGACTGCCTAATTAACCAACTTAAACCTTCCAAACATTGTTTCTGACCGCCATATGAACATGGTATTAGCTCCAATATTCAATGCCCTTTTAGCGCTGGCTGGCCAACCCACGAGAGAACAGATATTCTGCTTTTAGCAAGCATCGTTCTCTTTTTTCGCACGCTAGTAGCAGCTATTGCCTGTTTCCGGTTTGGTGATGAGAGACGTGAGTCAGAACCGTTATCGTGGGGCTGACAAAACAAATCATTACACTAAAACGGGTTAAAAGGCCCCATAGAGCGGAACTGGGTGCTTATTCTCTGTTTCTAGAAAGAGGTGATGGTGTCGTTCGTTAAATGTAAAATTTCCACAAATAAGTTTTGTATTTTGTTGATATTTACCTGGGCAAAAAACTAATTATCTGTATCACAGAGTACCACAGGAAGTAAAACATGATTTTGATATTATCTGGGTGAAACAAACCTTTGCAATCTGCCCAAGGTTTTTATTTTATTGTAAATGATTAAAGTGCTCCGCCAAGTGTTGGCACAATGGAGAAAAGCCAACAAACAACAAATATACAGTGGAGTAATGTAGGCCTGAGTAACTACATTTACTCAAGTAGCCTCCTGTAGACTACATGCAACTCACATTTCAGAGAGAAATATTGTACTTTTTCACTACAAAATCCATTTGAGATGTCTATTTATGTCCCAAAATCCAACCCTCATTCTAGAAAAAATACGATCTATAGCGCAGCAAGGCAGTTACAGTAGCTAAAGACATGGGCACACAAAAACGCTTACATTACATTACATTATCATCCAAGCTTCCCTGGTTGCCCTATCATCCCTCACTGTCACACTGTGAAATCTTCTTCATCATCATCATTAAAATCGTCACCATAATATATAATTATTCCTGCATTTGGTAGGTTTAGTAAATCCAGTTCAGCTTGTCCTTGTTAACCTTTTTTTTTTGTCTTTTTTTTTTGTCCTTGTTAAAATGCCATGCCTGACCCTGACAGCAGCTTTGGATCTGTCCCCACTCAGCCATGAAGGCTGGTCTCTAACTGCTCTGGTTTTTTTGGTGACAGTGGAGCGTGACCACCCACCGTCCTGTCACTTGAACCCATTACCCTGGGGTGAATCTGAGCTGTATGTGTCTTCACATCATCTCTTTCTGTAGGAATATATGGGAATTCCCATTCAGTCTTTTACATGTAACCAGACCATCTAAATTTGCACACATGGAGACAGGTGAGATTATTTGTGTCAAATGTAGTCATACAGGGAAAAGACATAACACTGTCTTGCGGAGGAAAGGCTGTGAACTGTAGGGATTTTCTGAGGTAAAACTCTTCACAGAGTGTAAGTGACAAATAACAACAAAAATAACGCAGCCATGATGAAATATAAGGTGATATACAGCTGATCTGTTGAATCCAAGGCTGGATTATTAACCAGCCAAAGTGGAAAACTGCCCAGGGCCCGCAGACCGCCAGGAGTACACACGCACTACAGTATTATTCCATCATTATCGATACATCTGACACAATTTCATTAACAATCAACCATTTAGTATATAAAATGCCTGTTGACACTGTCTCTCCTTGTCTTTTGTCTCACTCACATAAAAACACATTCAATGCAAAAGTAAAATCTAATCAACCTTATTAAAAATAAGTATAAATCCAAAAACAGTTTCCAAAAACAAAACCAGGTCATCACAAGCTGGTATGAAAAAAAAAACCCACAGGTTGACCCTGACACAACCATCTTTGGAGACAAGGTGATTTGTTGCCTTCCAGTCTTTGAGAACCCAATTCTTTTGGACAATATTCCCATCATAAAAGCTGACTGTATATTAAAAGGAGGTTATAAAGTGTCCCCCAGCACAAAAATGACTATGTGGGGAAGGGTAATTCTTTCATATACATTTGAAATCAATTAAAAAATGTCATATCTAAATAAATCTAAAATGTGTCTAAAAATTTCCTAATTTTTCTTTCCCCTCATATCCTGTCATGTCTGCTGTCTCTTTCAGTGAAGGAGTTCCTCCAATCTCAAAATTGAGACTTTGATGGGTAAAATTTGTATAACATGACTTTTGAACTATGGAACCTGTGTATAACCTTCCACTGCATTAACTTGTGCCTGGTGTTCACTGTGTGGATTCAAACTAAAGCACAGTTCCATATATTACTGAATATAATATCAATTTCTTTTGCCAGGCTTTACAAAAAGTGAAATTTCAGGTTCTCAGGAATCAGTTTTTGATACAAATAAATGAACTTTACCTTTTGTAGAGGAACACAGCTGAGCTCTACAACCAGTCAACATGATAATGATCAGCATCATTCATCAGGAGCACTGATGTGTCCAATCAGATGCAGTAATGCTTGTGAATATCTGTCTCTGTTGACCTGGTGCTTCGCTCCGTCCCACCCCCACTCCACCATGCAGACACAAGGTTGCTTAGCAACCCAAGAGCAGCCTGTGGAGAACACATACACACATTCGTGTTTAAAGTCACACACGCACACACTTGGAAAACCCAGGAAAACTGAAGGAGAAAGATAATGTACTCCTGCTCCACCCCTCTATCATCCTCTGCGACCCCCAAAAGGTGAAAAGAAACAGTAAGCCTGGAGGAGATTCAACCCAGTAACTGTGGCCCAGTGACTGTTCCCCATCACCTTGGATACACAAACACATAAAACCCAGTGCCTGAGAAGAAACCTGTCCCCACACTCCACTATAGGCATCACATTGTGTACCTCCAAAATAAGAGTGAAACAATCCCAATCAGTGCATTTGCTTTTTAAAAACATCCCTGTTGTCACATCATATCTATGTCAAGAACCTCACTGTGTGATAGGCAGCAAATACCAAGCCTGGCAGCCATGAAATCAGCATTTTCAGGACAAAGAACACTAAGAGATGAAAGTTAAAAGCTCTGCAGCATCTCTCCAGTCTAACACTATTAGCACATTAAGTGATTGCTTAAATACAGACAGCAGATGATGGATCAACTCCCTGCCTTGAGCGGGAGACGGCACTCTAATCCCCTAAAGGGGGGCTTCACTACAGTAACAGCTACCCGCATGAAACTGCAGACCCTGGAGACTGATGGGACTGGGTAGATTATGAGCAGCCTTGGGGCATTTCTAAACCCATTATAGTCCCAACATACACACACAGAAAGAATCTGGTACACAAGTAAATGCAGAAATAAATTTGAAGACACCCACAAATAGATGCAA